GGGAAAGATTGAACAATAAAGCTGAAAATGCGTATGTTTTGTTCTGGTTCAGACTGAGCTAGTTCTTATTTTTGATGGTTTATCCTTTGTGAAATGCTTCAAGAAAAAGTGTGCTGCAGTGTTTCTAACAGCTTTTTTGAAATTTGTGCATATTGAGGCAAAATAGTTTTCAGAGAAATTGTAATACAAACTGCCAAGTTCAGAAAAATGCATTCTTTCAGCATGATCCCATTTGTTTGATAACAAATTTTTAGCTGTGCTAGTTACTTTATTTTATGCTGAACCTGCTGTTCCTCAGAGTTCAGATGAATATAGAGTGTAAGTTTGAAATGAAAGTAAAGGAATTATTATTTGAAACATGGTGTTCTCTGTCCTTTGGAGCTGGAGAAGAGGCGACAGTTGCAAAGACTGAGATGTCAGATGTGCTTATGTCAGATGTTCTGTAGAAGTCTGACTCGCTTAATCCTCAGCACACTTACCAGCATGACTTCATTCTGTTTTTCAGACATTTGTCATCAGTTCTGGGAAACAAGTTTGACCATGGGGCAGAAGCCATCATGCCAACAATTTTTAATCTAATTCCGAATAGTGCCAAAGTCATGGCCACTTCTGGTGTTGTAGCAGTTAGATTAATCATTCGAGTAAGTATAAGTCAGTGTTATCATTTCCAAATACTGTGATGTTTCTGAGAAAATATGAATGATACTGCAGTGAAAATTAGATTAGGTGCCTAATCTTCTTTTCTGATTGTGCTGGGCTTGGCTGTCTCAGATGTTATTCAGCCTTGTGTAGATGGTGATAGTCAACTCCTGCCAAGACACTAGGAGAAATATTTCTTTGTAGAGTGATATATTTCCATCCCTGTAAGAGCTAAGCAAACTCTTTTCTTTGAATGAGTTTTAAACCTGCCTTGCAGGACAGACTCATCCTCTTAATTATGCTTTAGAACTCCTCACAAACAGTGCCTAAAACCATTGGGTCACAGAGGTGACTTCTGGCCACTGATTCATTGGGGAAGCTGTAGATAGCCTGATATCTCTCAGGTTGTCACCACTGACAGGTTAGATCCTCTTGAAGTGACTTCAGCTCCTTGACTCTCTGGAGCTTATAAAATAAAGTTAAATATCTGATAAATGTATTTTAATATATAAAATATATAATAATAAAAATATCTGTTCTTATCTGTTAGTGTTCCTTTATTTAGCAGTTCTATTTTTAAGAATTGAACAAAAATAAGTGTATACACACTGGGCTGAGGTAACTGAGGGAGGTGGCCTTTTCATTCTGTGGAACTGTGGTTAAAGATTTTTTCCTGTTTTTGTTGTTTGTTTTCTTCTAGCATACGCACATCCCTCGATTAATACCCATCATAACAAGTAATTGTACCTCCAAGTCTGTTGCAGTTAGAAGGTGAGCATTTAGTTTTAATTTCTTTTTTACCAGTAAGTATTTTCACATGTACTTTCTGATAACATTAATGTATTTGTTTTTGTTAATGAAAAGGGCTGACATACACTCTTACTAAAGAATGCATCTCATTCTCCGCCATGAGTTGGGATCAAATTAAAAATCAGCCATCTTGTATAAGCTGCAGCACTGCAGAAAGAAGTCACTTTTCTGCAGATATTTTTTGAACTAATCTTTGTGCTTGTGTGTCTTTATAATAACATCATGTTATTTTGGCTTCTTTACAGTAGCATTCCTGTTCCCTGCTACTGGCTCTTACAGTGATATGGTTTTTCTTGAGCCAGTCAGCAGAAGTTGTGTTCTGTGATAGTGTCATCTGGAAGTTGGTCCTCTCTGCAATTGAAATCTAAGTGTGTGTCAGTCCACTACCTCACTGGGAGACTCTTCCCTGGTTCATGTAGATTAGCTCATTCTCTTCTAGTTAGACAAAAAGGGCAGCTTTGTGGCTGCTGAATTTGGTGACCAACCTTGAACAAATAAAAGCATACTTGTGCCTTAGTTTCTTGATATGAGAAATGGAGACTAATGTTGAAAAGTTCTGTCTCCACATGAAGCTAAATGTGAAGTTTGTGTGAAGCCTGAACTAACATGTCTGAAGTAGAATTTGCATGGATCTTAGGGCTCTATATCCTGTTTAATGAAAAGATGGGCTTTCTGGATTGCTTTATGTCAAGCCCTCTCCTCAGACTTCTCTGTAGAGAAATGTCTCCACTTCAGAATGTTTATTGATGGGGTTTGTAGAGATGTTGGTGTTTTTATGGGAGTCGTTACGGAATTCTAATGTCCCAAAAAGCTTCATAACAAAAGATGGCTGTTGTTTAGAAGCAAGTATGGCAAAGTCAGTGTGTCTCTGTTAATATAGAGAACTCACCATTTCTTCTCTTTCTTCTCCCAGGCGCTGTTATGAATTTTTAGACTTGCTGTTGCAGGAGTGGCAAACACACTCCCTAGAAAGGTAAGCTCTGAAAACAAGTGGGTTAATTCTCTCCTCCTTATGTCTGGGGAGGTTAATTCTGACGAAAGGGTAATTGAAGAGGGGAGATTATATCGGGTAGCTCTGTTAGAGATATTTTTGCCACAACAAAAGCACTTATGTATGTGCGTGCACACCATTCATCCCTGTAGTTCTGGCAGTCAGAGTTCAGTTGAGTCTACTGTGCTGGCGCTGGAAAACCTGGTTGAGTGAATCCCTCAACTGAACAGAACTATTGTTTTTTGTTTTTTTTTCCTCTTTGCACCCTAAAGTGAGATGATGAGATGGAGGATGTTGATCAGGAACTTCTGAGGCTTCTACCATACTTCAGACTAATGAGCAGTGAAAGTAATTGTGGGAGAACACTGGGACACAATTTCCTTAGCCCTAGACTTCCCAGGCAGTTTCAGTAGCTAACTAAAGACTGACCTATGAAGAATGCAGCTTGGCTTTTTCTAGTCAGCAATGTGGGTGGAATAAAACTGAGTTGCCTTGCAACTCAGTAAATAAAGACAGACTCCAAAGGATCTTACATGGAAATGGGAGGATGTGATGAACTCTGTTTTTGGCGACCATTTGTTTGGAGTCATTTGTTTAGAAGTGTGGCGCATCTTTCTGGACTACTGGATAATGTTTTTCTTCTTATTTCAGACACATATCAGTGTTAGCTGAAACAATAAAGAAGGGAATTCACGATGCAGATTCTGAAGCCAGGATAGAGGCAAGAAAGTAAGTGGAAGCTGTTGAGGATGTCTTTTCTTCCTCCCCTTCTTTGCCCTTACTGTGCTGTGAGTCAATGGTATTGCATGTTGGAGACTGAAGTCCAGCCAAGTTACTTCTTGGCAGTTAATGGCAACTTTCCCTTGGCTTCAGTGGGTAGGAGATGTCATAGGATGAGTTATATATGTATTGTGTCTTCTAATGGTACTGTTTCAATTTGTTCTTACAATATTTTATTGTCTTTTTATCTGAGCTGGTAAAATGCTTACCTGAGTAGTTCAAGAGTCTGGGTTATTTGCTACTCTTGAAGCAAAAGTCCTTGTACCATTACACTGTTAAATGGTATCCTGAATTAAGGAAATATTTTATGTTGCTGAAATAGCATCTTTGTGTGTATCTATAGGAAGCTTTAATATTCGCAATAATTTTTTTTTCTGTTGAAGATCTCTTGCATTTCCATTAATGTGTTTGTACTTATGCTGATGTACTAGGATCATACTCTTCTGAATAGAACACTACAGGAACATTTTTCTTCAGAAAGAGGATACTGTAAAACATGAAATCAATGAACAATAAATTTTATTAATCTTAATGCTGTGGTAGAAGTGTTTCACAGTAGGACTTTAAAAATCCTTCTGAAAGGGAACGTGTCTATCACTGAAAAATACAGTAGGCACTGAGACTGCACAGCAGGTGACTTGTTAAGCTGAATAGACAGCAAGGAGAATGGCATGAGACTTCAGAAAGCATGCTTAATTCTTTCTTCCCATGTTTCTTAATTAACAGCATGGTTAATTATAAGACAGAAATTTGTTTCCTTCTAATGATGTGAGAATGCATGGGACTTCTCTGAGGACTGGCTGTCACACACAAACAATTATTGATTCATTTGAGCTAATGTTCTTACTCTTAAACTGCCCATTAGTTGCCCCCTGAAAAGTGGCTAGAGTCTTCATCTCCTTTGTGAGTAGAATGAATGTTGTTTAGGCATCAGCCAGGAAATTTGGACCAGAGATGAGTTCTTCCCTCATCTTTAAATGCTCTTTTATTTTCAGCATGGCACTGACTGGAAATCTGTAGGAGCATCTCTTTCCTTTTCCTCTTTATTTCTTCCCCAAAAGACAGTCAACAGACTCAATAGAGAAGATTTGTTACTGCAGCATTGTAGAAGGGCTGTTTCTTAAACTTAAGGAAGAAAACAACACCAACTGGTGCTCGCCTGAATCAGGCCCATGCATGTGTGTTCTGCTTTTGGCATTTTTTCAGAAGTAGCATTTGAGTACCCAGTCTCAAACTACTATCAGTCTGTGGGTTTACCATCTCCTGTGTATTGTAGGCAGCCAGAGGGATGAGGGTTTCTTCTCCAATAAAACTGCTTTTGACGACTTGGTGCATTGTAAAAACACAAGTGGCGCATTCCTTTCTTCCTATTTCAATTTTATTTGTCTTCTGTGTGCCTGTTTGAGCAACACAGTGGGTTGAAGAAAGTGGTATGTCTTGTGTGTCACAGGGGCAGTAGATGTTCGAAACTGGTGCCAGTAGTGAAAAGGGCTCTGACTGTACCTGTGCTTCACTGCCCCTAACCATGACAAGGAAATGTTGATGGTTTTGTGCCTTACTTCTAGGTGTTACTGGGGTTTCCACAGTCACTTCAGCAGAGAGGCAGAGCATTTGTACCACACCTTGGAGTCTTCCTACCAGAAGGCCCTGCAGTCACATTTGAAGAACTCTGACAGCATCGTGTCCTTGCCACAGTCTGATCGCTCCTCCTCCAGCTCCCAGGAGAGTCTCAAGTAAGTCCTTCCATGTCACTACCTCTCAATTTAAACAGCTGCCTATCGCTCTGTTGATTTGGAGGGAGCCATCACATTGCTTTCTCTCATCTGGTCACTGCTTGACCTCAACGCTTGGTTACTTAAAAATTTCATTTTTTTTAGCTAACATTGTGTTAAATAAAATGCTAGGAAAACCCTTTACTGGCTAAAAAAAAATCAAATGGTTATTTTGACTCTATAAATAACTTTCTAGGAAGCTTTCTGTGCTCAGTGGATGCTGTTAGTCATTCCTTCCAGGTATGCTTAAAACAATGCTTGGATTGAAATTCTGTGTTTAGCATTAATCCTAGAGGTGTAAGTCTGCATCTTTACATATAAGAGAAAAAAAATGACTGAACTAAATTTGAGTTGTAACTGCAAAATCAATATGTAACTCTGCCGTTGAGTGTATGTATTTTAGCTTTTTTTAAAGATACAATCAGCTTAGGTTCCAAATGTCTGCAATTTAACTAAGAGCTCTATGAAAAATATCCATAACTTATTGGTGTAACTTAAGTCTACGAAAAAGGTTCTTAAAAGTCTCTTCTTGGTCAAATAATGTACATGCTAGTTTTTAACGCTTTTACTGATGACTATGAAATACCAGTTTTGTTTTAATAAATATTTATATTAACTTCTAGCCGTCCGTTGTCTGCCAAAAGAAGTCCTACTGGAAGTACTACATCTAGAGGTGAGAACAGGAGCTGAAAAGTGCACTCAGGTGTTGCTGAGGAAGTGTGATAAATTAAGAATGAGAATTTTAAACAATATAATATGCAAGGAAACAACTTTGATCACTGTTTAACTTACTCTGTACAATTTTTAATTAGTTTTGCATTGCACATAATATTCTGTGCATCAAATTCCTTTGAAAGTTAGTGAATCTGCTATTGCTTGCACCTGAAGGGAAGGCTAAAACGCCTTGAAAATTGTAGCCAGTGTATGTTTAACTGTGCAATAGCTGCAGTAAACTGCTGACACTAAAACATACAGCTACATAGTCTAATGGTGCATTCAGCTTTACAATTTTCTGTCATTAATTCTTTGTAGTTTCAGCACTTACTTGCAGCACTGTCTGCACAGAATTCCTACAGTGTTAAATTCCATCTCTTTGTTAATCTGTTTTTACTGTTAGATGGAATATTTAGGTGCAGCTTTCCTGTCACATAATAGTTTAAATAATAAATTTTGATACAAAATATAATAGACAAAACTTCACTGGTAGAAGATATGCTGCCTTCTACACCTGACCAAGATTGGGTTCTGGCTGGTTTGTGTATCCAGTATACCCTACCGACATCTTTGATTCAAGGAGATATTGTTGTGTAACCTACTTGACTGTGCACACAAATGCATGTTTGCTTGCAGCTAAATAGACAAGCTTCATGCTTAAGCGGTAAAGCATCAACAAGCGATGGGAACAGCAGTCCTCATGAGAAGATGTGGTGTTGGGAAGAAAGTTAGTAGAACTTGGACTGAAGGACATGCAGGTCTGTTCTGGCCAGCATCTCACAAGCTGGTGCTGGGTCCCATGGTTGAGCCTTCCCATCTAGGTTCTGTTAGAAATTTCTTTATTATTGGTCTGGCAGCCTTTTTGATCTCAGCATTTAGGTTAGTATCTGATAAAGTTCTTAGAGGTAGCATCAGGTCAGCATTAAAATATCTTTGCAAGCAGTGTGGGGAAGCCCACAGTGCCCTGATAAAGCATTCTTAGTTGAGGTATTTCAGTGCCAGCAGGGACCGTTAAAAATAGTATATTAAACTGCTTGTCAGGCTCTTTGAAGCACTCAGCTCAGAAAATTAATCTTCTTTATTCTGGATCTCCCACTCCCATCTGCAGCATCTACAGTAAGTACAAAATCTGTGTCAACACCAGGATCTCTGCAGCGATCCCGCAGTGACGTCGATGTGAATGCAGCAGCTAGTGCCAAGTCAAAAGTGACGTCTTCAGGAGCATCCACCCCCTTCAGTTCTGCTGCAGCTTTGCCCCCAGGCTCATACGCATCACTAGGTAAATCTACGTATTCTTCTACTCCTGCAAGTTAGCTTTCTTTACTACCAGAAGGTGCCTCATAGTTTTATTTGAATATTAAACTCTGACTGGAAGAACATATCTCTGAGATAGTTACCAGCTCTCCAGGATCAGTGTGTGATCTCTTACCCTTTGGGGTTAAGGGAAAAATTTGCAACAGAACTGACTTGAAGAAACTTCTTAGTTTTTGAAATGTATAATAGTCTGCGTCTCACTCTTCTTTCTGGGGAAAAGCAGATCTTACTCCGATTCTGGGATGTTGTAGAGGAAAATACTGCTGAGTTCCTTTTGACTTGTCCCCCTTTTTCTTTTCCTATTCTTCCTTCCCTCCTTTCCTGAAACTAGTTTATGCTTTGAAAAGTACGTCTTAGTTGAGTTTGATCGCTTTCCGTTTTACAAAAGAGAAAGATGGTGGAGCAAAGAGAAGTTGGCCTTCCTGTTTCACCACACAGGACTGAAGTATCTGTTCCTTATGCCCACTCTTTTTGGATTATAGCCATGTGTCAGGTTATACTCTTAAAGCATCGTATGTCACTTTTAGGTGCCTTAGGATTTCTTACAACAAAGTTTGCATTTGATCTTTCTCTCCTGGAGGTGCCATTGAAGGAGGCGTGGAGGAAGAAATGCGAGGTGTTGATTGACACTGTATTTGCAGAGCTTCAACTGTATTATGAGTAGAGCTGATCATCTGAGCTGGTTTGTCATTCTGCTAGTTTTGTGCTAATCTAATTCTAGACTTTTCATCCATTTACCTTTACAAGAGGGAGAAAAATGAGAAGTCAGTGAATCAGTCTTGATTTAAGCTGTGTAGATTGTCTTCATTGAGTCAGTTGAGAAGT